CAGAGTGGGTGCTAGTCCCGGGGTCAGGTCGGGGCCTGTGGCCTCTGGATTCCCTGGCCTTGTCAATCATGTCATGGCTGTGTGTTGGCCTTCAGATGCTATTTTAAGAGGTGGAGAAGTAAAGAAAGAAGCTTGTCCCCTGCTTCCCGCCCCCCAGCCCTCCTTTCTGCTGAGACCATCACCAACAGTGCTAATTATTTAGAAATGGTAATTGCACTGGTGGATTCTGTGATAGGAATTGAATCATCCTTGCCCGTCCTCCCTCGGCAGAAGCTCTTTCAAACTCCAGTTGTCCCCACCCTGACTTCTTGTTGGCACTGTGGAACCTTGTGTTCACTCTGCTGGAGGGGAGAGGTAATGAGACACTGCGTCCCCCAGATCTGGAGAAAGTCAAGGCTCTCCTCCTCCTGAAAGCAGAACCTTGCTGTGACCTGCTTAATTGTAGGGTAAAAACACTAACATTTGCTTTTTTTCCCCTTTATTGAGATCTGTCCAAGTCTGAGCTCCTGTGGATGTGTTTAACAAAAATGGGACCTGTGAGCAGATTCCTAGGAGCTGCGATTCCCGGTCTGTCCAGTTGTAAAACCATTGGCATTACCCCACGTCATCAAAATGTGGTCTTTGGAAATGATGGGCAGAAACATTCCATGGTGTGGTCCTTAGCCAGTGCCCTCACTCTCTGCTGGCCTCTTGGTGCTGTTCCATCTGGGTCTTCCACATGCGCAGCAGGGGTCCAGGTCCTTGGGCCATTTTTGGCTGCTTTCCTAGGCACATTAGCAGGGAGCTAGATTGGAAGCGGAGAGGCTAGGACTCGAATTGGTGCTCCAATTTGGGAACTTGGCATTGCAGGCAATGGTTTCACCCACTGTGCTGCAACTCCAGCTGCTATTACTTTTTCTTTATGAATTGAACAGTTTGTTATTATATAATGCTTGTATTTATTTCTGATAATATTCTTTTCTCTGAAACATATTTTTCTGATGTTAGTGTAGTCACTGCAGTTTTCTTGTGATTAAGATTAGCATGGGGCCGGCGCCATGGCTCACTTGGCTAATCCACCACCTGTGGCGCCGGCACCCCGGGGTTCTAGTCCCGGTTGGGGTGCCAGATTCTGTCCCAGTTGCTCCTCTTCCAGTCCAGCTCTCTGCTGTGGACCGGGAAGGCAGTGGAGGATGGCCCAAGGTGCTTGGGCCTTGCACCCACATGGGAGACCAGGAGGAAGCACCTGGCCCCTGGCTTCGGATCGGTGCAGTGCCGGCTGTAAAGGCCGCTTGGGAGGTGAACCAACGGAAAAGGAAGACCTTTCTCTCTGTCTCTCTCTCTCACTGTCTAATTCTGTCTGTCAAAAAAAAAAAAAAAAAAAATAGCATGGAACATATTTTCCGGTGGTGATTTTATTTTATTTTATTTTAATTTTTTTAAGGTATACAAACTTCATGAATTTCATAAATGAAAATTCAGGAACATAGTGATTCTTTTGACCCTACCCTCCCTCCCACCTGATTTTATTTTTTTAACCTGTATGTATGTTTATATTTAAAGTGGGCTCTTATAAAGAGCATGTAGTATGTTCTTTTCTCTTTTATTCAATCTGAAAATCTCTGCATTTTAATTGAAAAGACTATATTCAATGTGACTGTTGATATGGTGGAGGTAGAAATCTACTGATTTCCTATTTTCCCCCACATGCTAATAGATTCTCCTGTCTTCTGCTTTATTTTGGATTGAGTGCTTTATATAACCAATTTAACACCTTCACCAGCTTTTTAGTTGTACCTCTTTGTTTTCAGAGATTGCTTTGGGGTTCATTGTATATGTCCTTAACTTATCATGGTCTATTCTCAAGTAATGTCATAGCTGTTCACATCTAGAATAAGCACCTTCTAGCTGTGTACTTCTGTTTCACTTCTGGCCTTCATGCTGTTGTGGTCATGTTGTGGTCATGTCCTTTTGCTTCTATGTTATAAGTGCCACAGTGCATTACTGTTATTTTGGCTTGAATGTTCTATCATCTTTGAAAATAGTCTTGAAAATTAAAAAGGAATGCTTTATATTTATTTATATGCTTTGTGTTTCCAGTACTTTTCCTTTCTGTTTGTGATCTAGATTGCTTTCTGATACTTCCCTTTTGTATTATGTACTTCCTTCAATATTATTCATAGTTTAGATGTGTTGGGTTATAAATTATTTCTGCTTTTATCTGTTGGAAAAGTCTTCATTTTACTTTTCTGTTTGAAAGTTACTTTCACTGCATATAACATTGTAGATGCCTTCCTTGGGCTTCTGGCTTCATTCGTTTCTGAGAGGTCCTCTGTCCACCACATCTGTGTTTGTCCCTCTGTATAGAATGCTTCTTCTGCTTTTTAAATAAATTTTGTATATACTTAAGGTATACAGCATGCTGTTCTGGGGTACATATAGATTATAAAAGCATTAGTGTAAAGAAGCAAATTAATATTTTTGTCACACACATAGTTACTCATTTTTTGTTTGTGTATTTGCTTGCTTTTGTGGCAAAAGCAGCTAATAAGTTGGTTTTAGCTGCTTTTACCATGATGTTCTTCCTTTTTTTCAGGCTGCTTTTAAGATTTTCTTTTCAGGTAATTTGATTATAATATGCCTTGGTTATTTCCTTCATGTCTTCTGGTTGGGCATTGTTGACCTTCTTGGTGAATGGGCTCATAATTTTTGTTTCTATTTTTTTAAATATTTATTTATTTACTTGAGATGTAGAGTTACAGACACAGAGAGAGGTCTTCCATCCACTGGTTCACTTCCCAAATGACTGCAATGGCCAGAGCTGCGCTGATCTGAAGCCAGGAGCCAGGAGCTTCTTCCAGGTCTCCCATGTGAGTGCAGGGGCCCAAGCACTTGGGCCATCTTCTACTGCTTTCCCAGGCCATAGCAGAGAGCTGGATCGGAAGAGGAGCAGTCAGGACTAGAACCTGTGCCCATATAGGATGCTGGCATCACAGGTGGCAGCTTTATGTGCTACACCACAGCAGGCAGAGGATTAACCTATTGCACCACAACACTGGCCCCCACTATTTCTTTAAATATGCATATTTTAATTCTTTCCTTCTAGATCTCCAGTAATCCATAGATAGCCACATACATTGGGGGAGGAAGGAATTTTTCTGTGTTTCATCTTTGCTTGTTCTGTTTATACAGATTGTTCTTTTTTATTTATTTTTTATTTTTTGACAGGCAGAGTGGACAGTGAGAGAGAGAGAGAGAGACAGAGGGAAAGGTCTTCCTTTTGCTGTTGGTTTACCCTCCAATGGCTGCCACAGGCGGCGCGCTGCGGCCGGCACATTGTGCTGATCTGAAGCCAGGAGCCAGGTGCTTCTCCTGGTCTTCCATGCGAGTGCAGAGCCCAAGCACTTGGGCCATCCTCCACTGTACTCCCGGGCCACAGCAAAGAGCTGGCCTGGAAGAGGGGCAACTGGGACAGAATCCGGTGCCCCGACGGGGACCAGAACCTGGTGTGCCGTCGCTGCAGGCGGAGGATTAGCCTAGTGAGCTGCGGCGCCGGTCTATACAGATTGTTCTGTCTGCACATGGACTGACCTGTCATGTCCAGTGTGATGTTAATCCTCTCCAGTGTGTTTTTCATCTCAGGTGAATTTTTCATCTCTAGATGTTTGATTTGGATGTTCATAAAATAAAATGTTTTTTTTTTTTTTGTCTCTCAGCATTTTATGCTTCCTCTTTTTTAAAAACATATGCAATGTATTTATAATAGCCATTTTAATGTCTTTATGTACTAATTATATCTGTAATTTTTGAGTTTGTTTCTTATTGATCAGCTGTTCTCATTATGAGATTTTTTTTAATGCTTCTTTGTATACGTGGTAACTTTTGAATGGGTAAAACACAATGTGAATTTTATATTGTTGAGTTTCATATTCTTTTTAAATTTATGAGACTTTGTTTTGGAATACTTTTAAGTTACTTAGGAAGTTTAGATTCTTTGGTGGCTTGTTAAATTTTATTAGGCAGTGCCTAGTTTAGTATACCAAAATAGTCTGCTGCTGATGCGGCCTACTTGTGAAGCAGTGAGGGCCCTTCCAAGTAGCCAGCCCAGTGTTCCCCTGTGTGACAAGCTTTCTCTAGTGCTGCTAATGGGAGTCTGACGTACCCCCAGATCTGTGTGAGCTGGAACCGTTGTTTGCCTTTTTTCTTTGTCTTGGTTCTCCACCTGGCCTAAGGTAGTTTCTCACATGTGCTGTTTACGTGGTATCTGAGTGAGATTCCATGGAATCTGGAGTCATTCTCTGCCTCTTTTTTGCTCTCGAATTGGAGCTGCCTTTGCCTCCCTAGATTCTTCATTCAGGACTCCTCCAGCCGGGCCACTCCCAGGCTGTGTTACCCTTGTTTCCCTTGCTCTCGGTCATCGTCCTGGGCTGCTGTGTCCTGTGTCTGAAAACCCTTGTTTCCTGTTTTTGTCTGATTTTTCACTGACGGTGGTGGGAGAACCCATGTACCTGTTCTTCCTCTGTCATGGCTGGGATGGCCACTGGCCAGGGCTTCTCATAACCCTTTGCTTCTGTTGTCTGCATGGGGAGGGCTCCTTGATCCCATTGTTCCAGTAGAGTACTCTTGAGAGTGAAACAGAGAACTGGACTGTCTTGGGCTGCCCTACCTACGCCTCTCAACCAGCAGGTTCAGAGCAGAGGGAGAATCAACCCTGCAAGAGCTTCCCTCTATCCTAGTGCTGTGCTCAGGGTTAAGAGGAAGCTGGGGCCCCACGTGTGCAGCAATGTCTTTCCGTTCCAGACTCAGTTTAGAATTTAGTCATTTTTTATGGCATTCTTTCTATGGGAAATTACCTCTGACCTTCCAAATAACTGATTCATAAATAATGTTCTTTGATAAATTATTTTGGTTTGTTAAAATTGTTATCTGAGTTGATATATGATTGTGACTTCTTTCTGTCTTTGGATTCTTTTCTACTTAAAATTTCCAATTTTAATTATGTTTTTGAAAACTGTTTACAGGACTGTCTACAGAGAGAGATCGTCTCACAGCTCCAGGTAAGCAGTGCTTCTTTCAGTGCCTCACAGGAGTTACATGTTTAAGTTGAGCGATTCTATTTCCATCAGTTGGTTTGCAAAGTCTTGCTTGCAAATGGAGCTGGTGGCTTGCTGCTGTTCTCATTTGTGCCTGATTTCTTATCATGTGACTCTGTTACAGGTTAGTGTACAGCAGTAGGTAAGTGACCTACCTTTTCCTTTCTGGCTTCTGTAGAACTAAGGTTTAAAAGAAGCAGTCTGTTACTTTTCAGTTTACCATTTTTTCACAAAATTAACCTGACCATGCAGCAGGGGGGTCTGGGTGCTGGTTGTCAGCTCTCTAAGCCTAGCTGATGCCTTGTGCTGTGGTAGTGGTGGGGCAGTTGGGAGGGTGAAGTCCGAGGAAAAGTCCTGGGGCTGCCCAGCATGAAGCATGTGCCTGCAGACACCTGTCAAAGATGCTACACTGTGACCCTGATCTAGTTTTGCAGAACTGCCTCAAGGTGATTCCTTTATTTTATTTATTTATTTATTTGACAGGCAGAGTGGACAGTGAGAGAGAGAGAGAGAGAGAGACAGAGAGAAAGGTCTTCCTTTTGCCGTTGGTTCACCCTCCAATGGCTGCCGCGGCCGGTGTGCTGCGGCTGGCGCATCGCGCTGATCCAAAGCCAGGAGCCAGGTGCTTCTCCTGGTCTCCCATGGGGTGCAGGGCCCAAGCACCTGGGCCATCCTCCACTGCCTTCCTGGGCCACAGCAGAGAGCTGGACTGGAAGAGGGGCAACCAGGACAGAATCTGGCGCCCCGACGGGGACCAGAACCTGGTGTGCCGGCGCCGCAGGCGGAGGATTAGCCTATTGAGCCGCAGCGCCGGCCAAGGTGATTCCTTTAAAAATTACTCCTGAGATGTCTTTTTCTAATATTTGTAAATGTTGTCTTCAAAAAGTTTTCATCAGAAAACTTGTTTTTGAGCAGTCTTGCCTGGAAAACTAAAGTGATCATGTAGATGCTAATGTCATGAAGTGCCTGATGCATACCAGCTGTCCAGATTTGAATGCTTGATGTGTAATTACTCACTTGGTCCTCACAGGCCTCTTGGAGGTGAGGGTCATTATTTTGTCATGTTCCCTGGGCTTACAGAGGTGAAGTCACCTTGGTCGTAACTGGCGAGGATGAGATCTGAGCTCAGCCTTCTGGCTGCACAGTGGAGGGATGAGAGGGCTCTGCCTTGCTGGCATTGTGTGGAATTGGAACTCCAGCGTTTGGCCTTCCTACCGGCGCTGGTGGCAGCTGTGTGCTCTGTAGTCACAAGCTTGACAGATCCTGATCAGAGGGCAGTGCTGGCTTCATCCTGAGCTGTTGCCTGTAGCAGGGAGGTGGTGGTGAGGAGGTGGGGCTGGGCACCCAAGCTCCTGGACTTAGGGATAATTGGAGTGCTGACCGGTATCTGAAGGGAAGAGTTCTTATTAGCAAATTGCTTGAACAAAGACCTTGTTTGTCCTTTCATTCACTCCGCAGATGTTTATGGCATGCCTGAGAGGTGCCAGAAACTCTTCGAGAATCCCAATGTCCTTGCGGGGTATGAAACTTTGGCATAATAGTCAGTTTGTCTCAGCGTGTGCCGGGTGGAGATGAGTGCTGTGGAGGAAGCAGAGGGCAGGATGGGAATGTTGGGGTCACAGGCATGGCCTCTAGGGAAGGAGCATCAAGTGGAGGGGGAGGCATGGGAGAGCCTCATGGCTGCTGGCTGGTGAGGGGCTCCAGGTCCTAGAGGAGTTTGTGCAGAGGCTCTGAGTGGGAGTGTGTAGTGTAGCCAGGAGGCCAGCGTGGCTGGAACCAAGTGTGTGAAGGGAAAGAACAAGAGTGAGGTCAGCGTGGCAGCAGCGGGTGCGTGGGGCACCGGGTGCTCCTGAGACAAGCTCTGAGCCTGTGTGCAATAGGGTTCAGGCTAGACCACAGCAAGGGGAGTGTGGAGCAGCGAGCCAGCCAGCCTTTCTCAGTCTGTGCTGGATTGTGCATCCCCCACTCCCCCAACAAATGAAAACTGTTGTAATACCTGCTTCTTAGCCGACATCCCTGTTGCCTTGGGACCAACTTTGTAATTGTGCAGATCTGGATCTAATTTTCACGGAAATCTCAAGGGAAGGATTCTGGGACTCGGAGGTGTAAACAACACCCTTTGTGTGCGGGGCTTCTTTCCCTTGGACTTTGGTGTTGCCCAGGTTCCTCCTTCGGGCAGACAGGAACTCGAGTTTGGCTGCTGGTCTAGGTGCACTACTTGGAGGTTCCCCCGCTGTTTGTATTGCACAGCCCCGCAGGCTGCAGGCCAGCAGTGGCCTAAAGCAGCCAGGCTGGGAGGCAGAGACAAGCCGGGTAGTTTGAGCCATCAAGGCTGTAAGCAGATGGATTCCAGGGGACTGCGGAGGACAGATTCTGGAACTTCCCTCAGGCCTTAATTAAGTCAAGGCAGGGAGCTTTTTATAGGGCACCCCAGGCCTGGACGTGATGGGGAGGGAGCTGCTAGGCGCACTGGGCGCCTGGAACAGAACAGCTCTACTCCCTGTGCAGGGTCGACTGAGCCCCGCAGTTGCTTCCCATGGGATTCCTGGTGGGTAGGATGGACCAGAACGGAGCTCATCTGCAGCCACGCTTCCCAGGGGAAGTGGCGGCTTTGGGAGCACTGGGTTTTCCATCCCCCTGTCTTGAAGAGCTTCTTTCCGTTTCTTGGGTGAGATGAGTACAGCATTCCATAGGGAAGCACAAACAGGCCCTTCCTGGTTTGTGTGTGGTATGTGCACTCTTGAAATCCCACTTGGTTCTACAGAGAAGGACTTCTTGTCACTGTTCTATAGGGGCAGGGCCCTGCTGCGTCTGTCCCATCTCACAGCTGTTTTTCTTCAACCACACTGAGATTAGGAAATTAAGAAGTACTGATAATGAACACTTTGTTAAAGATTTTTTTTTAACTTTTATTTAATGAATATAACTTTCCAAAGTATGGCTTATGGATTACAATGGCTTCCCCCCCATAATGTCCCTCCCACCCACAACCCTCCCCTTTCCCACTCCCTCTCCCCTTCAATTCACATGAGGATTCATTTTCGATTCTCTTTATATACAGAAGATCAGTTTAGCATACATTAAGTAAGGATTTGAACAGTTTGCTCCCACACCGAAACATAAAGTGAAAAATAATAGATAATTTTTTAAATGATGATTTACTTTGAGGTCTTTTATTCTTTGTGATACCCAATTGGTTATTTGCTCTTTACATTTTTGGAGGGGATTTACCCTGACATAAAAACTTTGCTGTTAGAAAATTTAGAAAATATGAAAATGAATTTAAAATCTCTCCTGTAATTAGCACAGGTAGGAGGTTGTGCAGACGAGCTGTTCCCACCCCTTCTTGTCTGTGTCTTTCTTGGGACCTCCTTTCATCTTCAGTAGTACCCAGTTCCTGGTGCAGCCCAGTGGTCACTTTCATTCATACACTCTCAGCTTTGCCTCTGTCTGTCCAGGTGTCCACTTGGTGGACTAAGAGCATATGCAGAGTGGTCTCCCCTAACTTCCACCCGCAGGGCTGAGATCTGCACTGAGCGCCGCCCAATCCCAGCCATATGTCCCCAGCAGATTTGTTCTTATCCAAGCTCATTCTGTTACACCTGCTCTTCCTTCTTATTTCTGGGCCTGTGGAAAGGGCCTCACTGATGATGACGTCAAGGAGAAGGAGGTGCTTCTCTGTACCATCTTCTGTCCTGGGCTCTGAGTTCCAGCTCCCTTGGTCTTGTGCACCTGTGCTCCCGTCTCCTTAGACTTGCTCCTGCCATCCTGGGTACCACCTTTTTCCTGTACTTTCTGCATGGGCTGATCTCTGCTTCTCATACCCCAGAGGTCGCATTCACTCTTCTCTTAAAATATAAAAAATTCCTCCCTGATTTTCGATTTTCAGCCAAAATGGCAGATTAAATTTACAGTGACCTCTGCTTCATAAAAACCCACTAACATGATAGATAAGATAATTTTAAGGGGCCGGCATTATGACGTAGTGAGTTAAACTGCTGCCTGGAACACTGGCATTCCAAATGAGCACAGCTTTGAGTCCCAGCTGCTCCACTTCGATCCAGCTCCCTGCTAATTCACCTGGGAAAGCAGCAGAAAGTAGTCCAAGTACTTGAGCCCCCACTACCCACATGGGAGACCTGGATGGGGTTTTTAGCTCTGGGCTCATCCTGGCCCAGCACCTCTCTGTCTCTCTGCAACTCTGGTTTTCAAATAAATAAACTTTTTAAAAACAGATTTTAAAAAAGTAACTCACTGAGTAATTGAGAAAGGAGGTGACAGAACTTTGGAAGTTGGAAAGACAGACACACAGATAAGTGTAGCAGATCTCAAAATCAGAAGTCCGGGAGGTGCATACCAGCGTTCAGTGTGTGTGTGCCAACGTATATATCTGTGTCTGTGTATATGTATGTTTATATGTACTTGCATGTGTGCAGTCGGCATTTGTTATGTATATGTGCATGGACATGCATATGTATATTGTGCATGCATGTATGCTGATGTGTATGGTATGTATGTGTGTTTGTATGTATGTGTGTTTGCATCACATGTGCATATGTAAATGTGCATGTGCCTTGGGTGGTTTGTAGTGTGTGCTTCTGTGGTAGGTGTGCATTTGTGTATGTGTGTGAGTATGAGGTACATGTATTGTGCACACATGTGGGTGGGATGTGTGTATATGGTGTGATTTGGAGATCTGGGCAGTGTGTTGCTTTGCAGACAGCCCCCTCCCCCAGGTCTTGGGAATGGTATTACCATGGCCTCTGAGAAGCAGGCAGTTCCTCAGCCCTCTTCCACCCTAGCTGAAGACTGCAGGTTCCTCCCCTGGAGGGGGCTTGAAAGCTTGTGGGCATAGAAGGGCCTGTCTCAGGCTGGGGGTGGGGCTCTACTCCAGCTGGTTACTGATTCTGGGGCTGAAGGATGCAGGGTGGGTGTAAGATGGATGTAGAAGGGATGGACAGGCT